TAATGACAAGACATATTTTCATCTAACAAGACTGCTTGGACTCTCGCCTCAAATAAAAAGATCCCAGAAGTCGTCACCAGTACAAACTAATGTTTCTATAAAAGGGTTTTCCAACTGTTCCAATAGCTTCACCATGCTTTCCTTTGTGATTAATAGGAGTTTGATAGTCTAGTCATTCTGGGATCTCATCCAGGGGCTGGGCTTTTCTAATTTATCGACCTGAGGAAAGTTACTTAAACTTTAAGCTTCAATTTCTTTTCTTTGTTTTTAATAAAACACGAACCAGTAGACTTAAGAGCTGAACAACTGATGTTAGGAACGAGCAGGGACTTGATAAGTGTTAATGCTTCACCTATCTCTTTTACACAGAGAGGAAAAAACCAACTAGTATTTTACATCATTATTATGCTAATTCCAAGAATTGTTAGTGATTTAAGGGTTAAAAATCTTATTTGTGTCATGAAACAGAAACAATCAGGGCAAATATATAAAAAGACATAAGTTAGCGATTCATTCTGATGGCTAAACACATTTTTGAAATAGGAATGTCCTTCTGTCATTAATTTAGATGAAAAATGTGACTCCAATGATTAACATTAATAAAAACTAGGAACCCCCAAGCATCGTAATGACAGCTCCCTGTTGCACCAGCATGACTCTGGAAGGAGTAAGAACGACAAATTCATTTCCTTTCTCAGAGGCGATATGTTTGCTGTGATGTGGACCATTCAACTGAACTGAACTGTAATCAATTTCAAGGGCTGATACCTCCAAAACGACCTGATTAACTGGGACTGACATAGAGTAAAATATTTCTAAGAGAATTATAGGTCACCTTAGTATATTTTTCATTCCTAAAAGCAGAGACATTATTTTTAAACAGTTTATAGGAACACATGGGTGCATAAAACCTACCAAGTATTAGCATATGATAAGGGTAAAACCAACTTTCTCTAGCAACTCTCCTCCACAAGTAAAATCATTCATTCACTGAGTACTAAGCACCGGCCACAAGTACTAGCTACAAAGCCACAAGATGAAGGAGACACTGGCCTTGCCCTTGAAGAGCTCATGGTTCTGGACTGTGAGAAGAGATCTATAAAAATAAATATAAGAGCAACTTGAAGAGCATAGTAGAAGCACAATTAATCAACTTGCTTGAAAGATTTGGGCCAAATTCAATTGAAGACAAGATATTTTAGGCAGGACTTGAAAAATGAGTAATGAGAAGGTATTCAAGAGGCAAAACAAAACAAAACAAAACAAAAACAACACAGAAAGTTAGTGGAAAGAGGAGAGTGCATTTCCAGCAGCAAGGGTGCCCCAGACGGGCAGAGTAGGTACAATGACCCCAGGGCGGGGCCCCGGGACGGCCAATGAGAAGAAAGGGAAATGAATGTGCAGACATCATGAAGTTGGATGGGAAGGTTACAGTCACATCTTACATGGTGGCTTCAGTATGTCTGGACTTTTTCCCAAAAGTCAAATTGGAGTCAATTGCATTTGTTAAAAACGTCCAGCAGAGGACATGGGTGAGATTGATTGTAAGAAAAGCCCCGGCAGCACGTGGACAGGAGAGAGCCCAGAGACAAGGTGACCTGTTAGGTGACCGCTGTGATGTGCTCCGGGTCAGAAATCGTGGCACTGGCATCAGAGCAGCAGCAGCCAGGACGCTGAGGAGAGACGGATCTGAGTGGATGGAGAGCACAGACTAGCATCTTGCGGAGGGTGGAGGAAAAGGAGTCTGACCTCAGCTATCGGCTCGGGTGGTAAGTCAATAAAAGTGCCACCACAGAAAAGGATGAATGGACTTTGACGACTAGGTTTGAATGAGGAGAGGCAGCTGCGGGCACGGGAAGCAAGGGGCTGGGCCGTCAGGAAGGTGTGAACACACACGGCACTGGATCTCCTGGGAGCAGCTCCCCACTGGGGAAAATACCCCCGTCGCTTGGGACGGAGAGGACCAGAACAATAAGCTGGGAAGTCATCACCTCACAGGCTGCAGCTGAAGCCATGGGGATGGACAGGAAAACAGCTGACGGTGAAACCCTCTCCACACCGCAACACTGTCTGAGGGGTCAGCAGAATTATGCTACATCCACAGACTTCTCACTGTGACCCCAGTTACAAGCGAATGGAAAGCCATTCCAGGAAGGGGCCATGGCTTACACGGCAGGGGCACGCAGGCTGCCTGGGAGGAAAGCGGGGCTCCTCTGAGCGTACAGGACACTGGTCGGGGTAATGCGTGCGAGGACAAGGGGCGCGTCAGTTGAAGGAGGGGACAGGTAGGTTCTGAAGGTGAGTAGTGCAGACGGCATTTGGGGGTCAGTGCTCCTGAGTTTCAGTTGTTCTTTAATCTTTGCAGTTCTTAGTGGGGTCGGACCCTTTCCTCAATTTTGAGGGAGAAGATAAACATAAATTACCCAATGAGAGAGTGATGCCAATGCTCAGCCCCCTTTATTTCGGAGGGAAAAGGTTGACACATGATGGTGACAGTGAGTCCCTGGGATGGACCAGGCCCCAGGACAGTTGCTTCACTGATAGTACCATTTAATTCCAGCTCCCCAACAACCCAGCAAAATGCGTATGAACTTCCCATGACCAGTGAGGAAGCTACTCAAAGACATTAGGTGACTTTTAACTAGATGTGGATGGACAAAAACCAGGCTATGGTTCCACACCCCAGGAACTTCACTGTGTCAGGTTGGGATTGATCATGTCTCACCTCCACTGGAATGTGAAAAGGAGGAACAGCCTGTCGTCTATAAACATGTTGTCTAATTGATATTCCTTTCTGCAGTAGTTTATCAACTCACAAAAGAGCAAATGTGGTTAATCCCTGCACAGCTGTACACTGCATACATCCTAACACCCACTACATATCTGACTGCAGGTAACTCTTGGTGCCAGATGCTTTACAAGGTGTCACCTCAAGTAACCTCATGACCACCCTTGAGGCAGACAGTGAGGACAGCCCTTTGCAAGGAGTGCAACGTGACTGGCCCCAGGTCTCCTAGCCACCAAAAATTTGAACTTGGAGCATGTGACAACAGCCTAGCCACTTTGCCCTTCTACCCCCAACTTTAAAACTGAGTTTTAACCTTTGCCATGTGAACCTTTTTCTCAGTCTGTGCTACCAACAGTCAACCTGGCAGCTCCGAGAGCGTTCTTCCTGGACCGTTCCATCCGAAGAACTATTTAAAGGCTTCTATTCTGTCCCCTCACAGAATCAAAACCCTCCCCAAGATGCTTTCCGTGGTTACTTGAGCAATTCCACCTGATTCAGTAGCAGCGATGGCATTCTCTGAGGTCGCCTTGGGTGACCAAGAGATAGGGACGGGCCAACCCCGGCATCCTGACTCCCTGATAAGGACACCAGAGCTCACCCTCCTTATCGGGGTCGGAAAGCTGAGAGTGGACACCTACCGTGATGGCTGTTTCCTGTCCGGCTCTGTGGCTGCCTGCAGGTGTTGAGTACCTGGGTCCCAATTGAAATCACTGAATTGTGCAAGCCACCCCAAGGTAAAAAGAGGGTGCCCCATTCAAGCGGAGTGAATGGGGGCAGTGTTCCCCTGGCGTGTCTGCCTCATCTGGGGGAGAAGCTGAAACCTGAGCCAGCAGGAGGCCCAGCTCCGCCTCTCCTGGGCTATAATGAACTCTGAGCACGGCCAAACAGGCCCTTGCCTGATCTCCCAACTCTCCATCCATCAAATTACTCCAGGTACAGAAAAAAGCGAAATAAGTTGGTCATTTGGATAATCAAAAGGGCAGAAGTCTCGTTAAGGAACATGGCAGAGGCTTTAAAAGTCTCGGAGAGAGGCTTCTTGGCAGTGCTTTTCTTGCATTGTTTCCCTAGAACTCTCAAGTCATTGGAAAAGTGACTTTTCCATACAGAGTCCTTCATTTCCATAGCCCAGAAGGAGGTCAGGAGAAGAGGAGCCCCTGGCAAGCTGGGTGCTAAGAATCTGGGGGGTCTGCCGGGAGTTTGGCGTTGCCCCGCATTGAGAGGTGGGAAGAGAAGAAATACAGAGAGAAGTCTTGACCTCACATGTACAGCTATTTGGTCTTTGTCCTGGGGAAGAAAGAGTGTTTGCGTGTGGCACACGATGCTGACAACGCTTAAACTCTGGTGTCACCCCAGGAAAGATGAGCAGTGTCTCCTAGGACCAGAGGGACACAATTTTCACCTCTGGCTGTAGGCTTTGTGTTATTGATCCACGTACCTGCATGCAGTGTATGCGGATATGCAGAAAACTGCAAACGGCAAGGAGCTCAGGCTTTCAATGAACTACTCCAGACTTAGCTAAAGCAAAACACACACACACACAGCACACAGGGCACCCCCAAGGCAGCCAGTTCACTCCCACACGGAGCTGAGGCAGGGGAGGCAGTACTGTCTCGGCCGCACGAACCCCGAGGACTCTTCCAGGAGAGACAGGAACTCCGGCAGAGGCCAGGGGGGAGCAGCGGCGCTGGGTGGGTGGCGCATGCTCCGGAGGCCCATGGCTGCCTGCGCGACCAGGTCCTGAGTCACCATCCACCCCATTTAAGTAGTAAGATTAGAGCAGGGACGGATGCAGCCTCCTTCTAGCCAGACTCACTGCTCACAGCCCACCCCAAGGAAGTGCCACGTGATCCCTGTTTGCAGAGAGGGAATTTTCTCACCACTCTCCAGTATGAAAAGTGGCTCAGAAAAAAAAAATGATGGGATCAATTACCAGGAGCCAAACGCAATTACAAAAATCATTCTGTCCCTCTCTTCAGGAAGAGAAGTGTTCTGGTCATCAGCAGCTCTGCTAGACCTAGTCAGATCATTGCCAGGAATTCTGTGAACTTTACCTCAGGCTGCCAAGATTCAAAAGAAACGTCGATAGTAAGTGTTTGCACAGACACCCCAGAGGGGAGAGTGTGCCCCTCCAGCCACCCAGCAGACGGGCAAAGAGAACTGCCCCATCTGCCCCTCGCCCGTAACACTTAGGGGGGGAAAAAAAAACTCTTACCCAGCTCTCCCCGGAGGTTAACAAGTTCTTGAGATAGGGCTTTGTGTTGTTTCAGCGCTTCCTCCCGCTGCGGAAAACAAACATCAAGTTACTAATGTTTTCAAGAGGGTCCCTTTCAGCGAGGCACACATTTGTTATCTCCAGAAAACCGAGACTCAGAACAGAGCAACCGAGATAGGGATCATTTAGGCGAACAGTTTGTGTTGTTTGAAAACACAGATGTCCCTTAGTTGTTAAGGAAATTTGTGCTTCAGAAATCTGTATTTTCCCAGGTCTGTGTCAAACTTTCATGTAAGGCCCTGGAAAATATTTACTCGGAGACATGCTTCACTGCTGATCTGTAGAACCTTTCAGCTAATGCATACTGTACTGAAGACGTAATTCAGTCTCCCCGTCCAAGGGCACCACAGGCATAATCAGTCTAAGATAAATATTTAATGTTCTAAACATATGCACTTATGTGCACTTTGTCCTATAGTTGCACATTTTAAAAGAAAGGTGTGTTACAATTCTGTACTTCTACAAGGAAGACACAAAGTTTGTGATAAAGCTATGGCAAAAAAAATCCTTCAAAGACAGAACTAAATTGATTTTACTCAGATACACATGATTTTCTAAAGATTATAATATTTTGCATTGGCTAGAATTCTAAGTAGATGCTAGAGAAATGAATCAAAGAAAACCAGGAGGCTTTCTGTACTAACAAAGCAATTATCAATCTTGCAAAAAAAAGAAAACAATTTCCCAGCGACCAACCACTCACAGCAATCGCGCACACACACACACAATATACACACATCACACAACTGCAGCAATGAGATGCCGTTTCCTGTCCGGCAGAGTCCCTAGCCCAGGGTGTAAGGAAGAAAAAGGCAGAAGTCACAGCTCTCTGGAGATGCCCCCTCCGATCAGCCCAGCCGGAGCTCCTGCCGCCCCTTGGCCACAGTGGTGCAGAGGTCATGATTCCCGACCAGTGCCGCAAAAGTCCCCTGTCATTTAAAGCATTTCCCAGTAATTCCAGACTCCCTCCGCCTTAGTCCCTGACATTCTTCCAGAAAAGCACTAGAAACAAACACTAATTACCCTTGTCGCTGCACATGGAGAATAGAGGCACATTTTGCTGCTGGAGCAGCCCATTTTCCAGCTTCTGTCTCCAACTGTCCCCTCCCCCCGCACTAGCCAAGAAGTACACAGGTGGCCACGCCACCCACCGGTCTGTCTACACTGACAGCTCTACCAGGAGGAGTGCCATTGGTCCCCGGTTAGCCTTACTTCACGTCCTGCAGGTTAGCGTCTGCCTCAGCCGGCTCGCCCTGCACAGAAGCTGATGCTGCAGCTTGTGCCTTTGGCACAGGCAGCCTGCGATCACTTAAAGCCACAGCCCTTCTTTTATGAAAAACGAGAGCCAGGCATTAGCCTGATCGATCGCCACTTACTTAAATACCAGCAGCTACGGTGGAAAGAAAAACTGACCTTCTCCGCGTGGATAATGGACTTATTTTTAGATGTGTGAGCCTTTTTTATTCCCCTCTCTAATTGAGGTCATTAGATTATCACACTCACTAATAGAAGAGGGAGATGTGGTGTCTGGCACCTGCACAGTGAATGAGCTTGTGAACTAGGTGTATGTCGATGCAAGTGTGTGTTGTGACTCCGGATTTGAAATGACATCACAAAATGGTGTCTCCCACAGAATTTAATCTGGATGTTTAGAACATGGTCCACTGGTATTTTAAGAAAAAGTGTGAGATTCTGATTCGAGAGTCGAAGATTAGATGTATTTGATAACTTCTATTTTTTACTTTGTAATAGTATCTCACTGAAGAGCAAAGGAAGTTGATGATATGCTTGTACGGTCATATGGACGTTTCACAGTCACTGGAATTTAAGAAACTTTCTCTGTGAGACATGTCTATTGTAATGGCATTCTAAATGCCTGATTTTTAAAATGCAGAAGTGAGTGTTCCCAAAATCAGAGATCAGTTAGTGTGCGTTTCAAAAATAAAGAAGTAATAGATTTTCCAAGGCAGAAATTAAAGTTGGAGAGAAACCAACCTGGATAAAATTAGAAGTTGAAAAATACATATATTATATGTACTTCTCTTCAACTCAAATTTAAGCCCTAGTTCTGTTTGCTTAGTAATCTAGTTCAGGTGAGCACCAGCAAGTTTTGTTACTCAAGCTACAAGAAAACCAGAAGACGGCTTTATCAGGTACAGACAATCCAGCAACACACACGGTGAACGGCTTACAAGGCACTGGTGCCAATGGTAACCAAATTGCTAATAGGAAGAAAAGCTGGCAAGAAGTTCTATCGCTTTTCCATAAAAAAATCAGTTGGTATATAGTTTCCAGAAGTCATTTCGTGAAAACTTTTACATCTTGTCACAGATACATACCAGGTGACCTTTTTGCTTATTAAAGGGATTTGGGGACAAGGGATTTTGGTACCATGGGGATGTTTCTCCCAACTCTAGCACCCTCAACCCTCCTGCCTTCAGTGCCTGGAAGCCATGGACATCTTCCAGTCTCTGTCAATCTGGGAGCGGGGACGGGAAAACCGTGAGGTCACCGCTGCCTCGGCTTTGTCCAAATGGGCGTGCCGAAGTCAGTCAGGCTTCCTTCCTGACGTGCCCTGAATTGCTCTTTCCTATTAGGACTCCTCCACCCAGGTCCTGATCCTTGTCCGCTCGTTCCTGGGCCATCAAACGCACCCCTCCGCACGGCCTTGCAGAGGGCTGCCAGGCCACCCCATGGTCCTTGTGCATGTGAACACACGCATTCGGAGAGAGTCTTCCGCTGAATGCACAAAAAAGTACACAGCACCCTGAGTCCATGAGCCTCAATCGTGCAACTGCTGTTGAGACTCCTGACCCCTCTTCTGTCCAAGTCATGCCCGCCACGCACGTCCCACCTGCACACTCTGGGATGCCCAGTTCTCTTCACCCGACCCACCGTGTAAACCTTCGGGGAATGCTGAGCGTCAGTCACAGAGACCATCCCCCTTCCCCAGATGCCTCCACAGGCCATGTGTCACCCTGAGTTGGCTGCAAAAGTATTACCCATTCCCAACTCACCAAGCACTATTCCAGATGCTGGGAAAAACAGGAGAGACATTTAAGACGCAGTCCCTGCCTTCGAGAAGCTTGGGACCTAGGTAGAACCAGAATGTCCAGGCCCAGTTCTCTCACCATGTCTCAGAGAAGATGAGCTCATCTGAGGGGAAGCAGGAGCATCCTGGAAACACCAAGGGCTTTCGATACAATTCTATGAGATATGCTGACCGCAGTGCCTAACAGGTACGTACTGTTGGTTTCGGCCCAACTCTCCCTGGTAGCTCGCCCTTTAAGATTCTTACCCTTTACTGACGGGTGATAAAATGTGTTTTGTCACTTAGATAATACACTTTTTTTAGTCCAGAGAACAAGTTTATTTAATTCTCTTTGTGACATGTAATTCTCAGTGTAACATGCAGAATGTCACACACTGTGAAAAAAAGAGGGAGGTGGGACTCCAGACAGAAAAACGCTTTTATAGTCATACATTAAATACAGGAAGTGCTCCCAGGAAAAACAATGAATTCACCATAATTTAATTAGGACTCCCTGGGACAGGAGCACTTAGTCCCTGGCCTCCGTCCCACCAGCCGGGGTTTGCTGGCTGTTGAGAGCGAGCAGCACAGGGGGTGGCGGGAAGGAGCCACGTGGGGCGGCTGGGGCGTGGGCGCCATCTGACCTCCTCCCCAGGCCCACGCGACAAACTGCGCCCACTTCTGTCTGTGTTCTGAGACTACTTTCCTTAGAGCAGACTGCTAGCGTCATCCCAAATTCACCTTTGCGCAGGTGCTCCTTCAGGAGAGATTCCTCTCACAAATATGAGAATTGGAGGGTCTCTGGATAGCCAGTCAGAGGTTGGGGGGTGGCCTGGAACCTGTTCAGGCCTACCTAGGATCTCACCTGTAGACCCTTTTATAGAGACACCGGGGTTACCACCAACACTGTCCTGCCCTGTGGTAGCCTGTGTGGAAGGCTGTACAACCACGCAAAGATGAAGCAAGAATTAGAGCTGAAACCACACTGGGTTCTTTGAGAAACAGAAAGCGTGGTATGAGTTTCCAGGTTCCTGAGACATTTACGAGAACTTCTAGTATGTAATGAATTTTGTTTGCCACTAAAGTGGTTATGAAATAGATTTGCAACAAAAGGATAAGTTGATGTTCCAGTATTCCTTACAGTCAACCATATTTACCCATAGTATATAGTTCCAAAACCATTTAGACAAAGTTAGCAATAACAAGATATATATGTATATACAGATCAATCTGCACTCACAAAATCTGTATCAATCCATCACTTCTGCAATAGAGGGTTAAGAGAAAATCATGTTGAGGAAATTGCTTAACTTTTGCCCTGGTTATGTCTTTCCTTTCCAACTGTTTTATAACAGTGCCCTGTACACATTAGGTAATGAGCAAATATTGGCTGACTGATTATAAAAAGCTAGCAAAGAACACGCACATAAAGACTTTATATGTTCAACTCGCATCTGGGGGCCCATCCTCTCTACTCATTCACTGAGTGTCTTTCATGTATAAGGCACAGCCACAGCCGCTGACCAGTTTCCCAAGAAAGAACTAAACCCAGATCCTGCTCTCAGTGAGCTTCCCATCTTAAAAAGCAGAAACAAGCACTAACTGCTTACCTACAATACAAGGTAGAGAGCGGCAGAAATCTAAGTGCATCTGGAATCCAGACAGCAGACAGAACATAGAACTAGAAGGACCCAGAAAGTCTAATGCAAGGGGGAGTTTTGAGCTGAACTTCTAGAAATTCAGAGGGGTCCCATTACGTGGGCCTTGGGACCTAAACTAGGAATAAGATGAAATGCACGTACAGTAAAAGTATCCCTAAAGCTCATTGAGAATTAGCTGTGCTGTGACTGACAAAGCATCTCTCAGTTCGTCCCACCCTGGAAAGTTTCTCCCTTAGTGTGGGGACTATTCCGCCAACTGAGCACCTGATAAGGTGTCTGTGGCTTGTGTCTAGGGCCAGGTCCTACGGGAAGAGAGTGTCTTTAAACACTAGGATCACGCAGTGTGCAAGGCTGGTGCCCACGAGGTGTTTAGGGACTGAGAACACAGCTGGGGGAAGCGGTGACTCCGGTCTCTCACCTCGCACCCACGCCTGGGCCTCTGCTCCCTGCGGGGCTCGGGAGGCAGGACTGCCGCTCTATCTCATTGGCACTTTTACCCTTGGCTGTCCCTCCATCCGATGAATCTGCCAAACTGAATGCAACTTAAATGCAGGTGGTGAGGGGAGGCTACCATGACAAAGACCCAAACATGTACGTGTTGGTGGGAAAGTCCAGTAACGGTATCTGAACAAAGGACGGGAACTTCATAGGGGATTTTGAGTTCATAGTGTCCGAGACCTGGGTTCAGGTCCCCATTCTCCTCTGACTAGCTGTCTGATGATAGCCACGTTTCATAATGGCTCTACGTCTCAATTTTCTTATTTGTAAATTCCAATGTATGATCGTGGAGAAGATTTCATGAGTAAGAGTGTCTGCTACTTAGTGAATACTCGATACACGTTAAATGCTCCTTGCTTCTCCTCTCCTTCCCTGACTATATAGCTGGAACATCGGGCAGTGAGGGCAAGGTTAAAAAGGGCAGTCGGTGCCACACTAGAGTCTCATATTCCCAGTTATATACCAGTGATTCAAAAGTATCATTATGTGAGCCATGCATATAACTTTAATTTCCTAGTAGACACAGTTTGTAGAAAATTTACAAGACTAATGTTAATAAGGCATTTTATTTAACCTAGCATATCCAGAATAGTATCATTTCAACTTATAGTCTATAGAAACTTATTAACAAGATAGTTTATATTCTTTTTTATGAAAAATTCTAAGTCTTCAAAATCTGTGTGCCTTTTATATTCACTGCAGACCTCGATTCAGCCTGGCTGCACTGAGAGCTCAGGAGGCTCAGAGGGCCAGTGGCTGCCTCAGGGGACAGATCGGCTGTGGACAACGAAGAACCGGGGAAGGTCTAGTCTACAGAGTGGAATGCTCTGGAGAGAGGAACCTGTGAGCAGTGCCTGGGGTGGATTCGAGGGAAGCCTGCAGACCGGGTAAGAAGGCGTCCTTAGAACCTAGGGGACAGTTATGTGGCCCCTGAACAAGGCTGGCGTAGGTAGGAAAAGAAAAGCAGGGATGCACAAGAGAGACCCTGTGGGCTGGGAAGTCACAGAACCTGGATTTAACGTAGATGATAAAGGACATCAAAGAGTTGGACACGGGGTTATGAGGCCAGAGGTGGCTTATAACTAAAAAGACAAAACGAATATCTGGTTGTTCCCTCAACTAGATATTATGTGGTTTCACTTGGTTATATAAACAAATTCTAGAATTCCTTCCTTGCATATTAAGGAAAAACAAAAATACCATTTACTACTATATAGTTTAAAAACTAGGTAAATATCTCCCTCTCAAAAAATATATTTGGACAGAGCTGTAGAATGTTCATCAAATATTCATCCGCACTGCCTACCAGCTTGGTAGCCCGTCAAAGGCACAAACCAAGCCTCATTCACCTCTGTCTTCCCTGCCCCCACAAAGACAACCACACCACAGAGGCCTCTGCAGGAAATAAATACAGGGTTCGTGGGACGGAACTAAACTACAGAACAAGCAAATGGACCTGTTTTCTTCTTGGGATGTCACGCATACCTATCTTTAAAACTGGGATTTAAAAATATCTAAAGGGCCCTGGCTGGTGTAGCTCAGTGGACTGAGCGTGGGCTGTGAACCAAGGGTCGCTGGTTTGATTCCCGGTCAGGACACATGCCTGGGTTGTGAGCCAGGTCCCCAGTGGGGGCCACGTGAGAGGCAACCACACATTGATGTTTCTCTAACTTTCTTTCTCCTTCTCTTCCCCTCTCTCTAAAAATAAATAAGTAAAATCTTTAAAAAAATATCTAAAGAACTCGTTATACTCACACCACGGTGTTTCCCCTTAGATTGTAGTATTTGTTGCTATGCCAGGAGCACATGTTCATAGAAACTTCATTTTCTCACTGAATTGTAACTAGTTCCTGAATTGACATCCCTGTAGCATATGGGCTGGGGGGGGAGTGGCGGGGGCGGGTAGTAAGTAAGCAGAGGAAATCTGCTCTGCATTTGTTGTACCACAAACTATTTTAGGAATGGATAGAAATTCTTCAGCGTTCCCAAACCAATACTGGGAGTTAGCATGAAAGTGTTCTTTGACCTATAAATATTATTACAATCCACCTCACTTTTCAAAGAGTTAAACTAAGTGTGATCAGGAAAGCCACATAGAGTTAGACAAAAATGAAGTGAAAAATGTTACTGTTAGTATAGGCTAACAGTAACTAGAGAGTCACTCAGGTATCGAGGGAGTTAGCAAAAGCATAACCGGATGAATTATATGATGTTACCAATCATCAGCGTAAAGATATTCACGAAACTAACCTGGAGCGCCGCCCCCACCTGTCTCAGGCCCCCACCTCAGTGAAGAAGACCACTTGGGGGCACATGACCTCACCTCTGACAGTAGGTGCTGAATCAAGACTGCCAAGGCTTCAAACCTGGTGTTACCGCAGGACACAAGCTGCTTCAGGTGCAGGATGAACCTGCTCTGGCTTTCACATTTTGTTTTGCATTGGGCCAACTCAAGTGCTTTCTCCGAGGACAGCACATCGGGAGACGTCTGCGTCTGGATGCATAGACTTCTGGGAGTCTTTTGTCTGCCGTTTTCAACTGCAAAGAGAATTTAATAATAGGTGGTCAATGGTATGATTTTGATTTTATAATAATCACCATATGCATTCAAATACAACTAGAGAAGCCGCAGAAATGCATTTAAGTTATGTTTGCATAAGGAAAGCATATGAATGAGAACTGGAAGTAATCAGATATCTGGGAGTCTGGAATATCTGTGTCAGAAACACAGACAATGGCTTTTGTTCTGACCTTAAAAGATTTCTACAGGGCAGAGAATTCTCTCCACAAAACAAGTAAGTTTACACATCCAGAAATAGGAAAACGGCACACAAAATAACACTAGTTTCATAGCTTCTAATTTTCTAGGTAAATTGGAACAGAAACCGGATTGTCACAATTCCTCTAACTCTGTATTCTGGTCACATATGCTGAAAGAAAACCACAAATTATTGGACTTTAAATGCCTTTCCCTCTTCCCACATGTTTTACCAACTCCCCATCCTTTCCCTGCTGACCACCTGGTCATTACAAAGATTTATGCTGCAGACAAGACATTCCCTAAATCTAATAAGTCATTGTGTACATAAAATCTACTCACATGCTGTCCCTCATCTTTAAGTTCATTGTCAAGAGAGTCCTGCACTCTTGACCACACTTCTGTTTCCTACTGAACACAAGCTTCATTGGTTTTTTTCCCTTGCAAGTAGTAATAATGACTTAAATATTTTTTAAAAGCACATGCTAATGCTCAGAGCCATCTGAGGCGCTGTGCCAAGTTAATTAGTCACTTGAATTGCTCTGTTTTAAATGAGAAACTGTTCCATTTCAGAGCCATTCCAAATGTCTCAAGTCCCTTTAAGTATCAAACAGAATTGGGAAAACAGGAAACAAGCTGCTTAGCTTCTTGAAATAAGCAGGCCACATAATCAAAACAAATCTCCATCTGAAAAATAAAAAGCTATGCGAAATTAAAGGAGAACCCCACCTTTCCTTGTGGGACTTTTCTATGACAGCCCATTCTGTGGCAACAAACAGACCTAGGACAGTCTTATCAACAGTACTCACTTTCTCCAGTTTTTGAGGGGAAGGGAAACCACAGTGATTTCTTGAAGGAAAGTAAACAAAGAAGCCTCAGTTTTCATGTTCCAAGAACCAATGGCAAAATATGCTCACTATGCTTTTTAAGTTAAAAACAGAAAAACGGGCTTTCATTTTCTGTGCTTGCTTTCCATGGTTAACTCATATTGGTATTAATGCTTGAAAATCCTCAGTTCTAAAAAGATTAAAATATCTACTGTGTTTTAAAATTACTTGAAAAGAGGGGGAACACGTTTATCTGTTATTCTTTATTAGCAATCGTTAATAGTTGTCAATAATTGCCAATTGCCCAGCAGATGGAGATAGTAACTAACAGTCATAATACTAAAATCCTGAAGGAAGAACAATTTTATCGAGTCACTGAGTTAATGAAAAGTAATCTAAATATTTTACAATATGTCAACACATCTGAGCTTAGTAGTCCTTTACTTTCTCATTTTCCCAAAATGTTTTTAGAAATTATTTTTTCCCTCTACATATAGCAATAACAACATACAGTGTTTTACTGTTTATAGAGTGTCTCACTGTCCTCCCTCTTGATCCTCCCAGTCACTTTTGACAGGAAAGGGGCCATTCAAAGATGTGAAGGGCCTGGCCCAGGTGTGGACCGCATCTACGGGACAGATTCAAAGTCAGAATCCAGGCCTCTGAAGCCAAGTCTCCACTGTGCCCATGCATTTTGGAAAGTGGAGATCGGGTGGAAAGGCAATAGAGTTTGTAACTAAAATAGATAAGTATGCAATAGTCTGGATATAATGCTACTTTGATAAATTCAAGCCCATTAACTGAGAACTCTTCAATAAACCTACATGTAAACATCTATGTTTTACATATTTTATACAAACAGAAGAGCAATAAACATTTTTAACTGTTTGACCATCTAGAATTTACTGCAATATATGTAAATATAAGTTCATTCTTCTGATTGATGATCATTGCTATATGTCCTACCAATACTTATTGAGATATTCATTAGTTTATTGATACATTGCTTTGAGTTCATTTCTTGAATCCTGAACAATGCTTGATTTTTTTTCTAGAATTTATACTCTAATCCATTTTATCATCTAACACACTATCACAGTTTTAAAACTGTTAGGTTACAATTATTTACAAACTTTGGGCAGTAAACCTTTCTTATAAACATTTTGGGAGAAAACATTCTGTAATATTCTTATCTCCTTAGTCGCTCAGATGAATTTTAAGATTCAGCAGTAAGGTGTAATAAGTTATTTCATAAGAACATATAATACATTGAATGAAATGTAAATGAACATCTTAGCCATTGTTTTCCACACTCAGGTTCAGAATACAGGCACTATCTTTATAGCACCACACTTTATGTTTTCCTTGAAATTATGTCTTACACCAAAGTTAGGCCATAGTTAAGGATTTACATTTGGCTCCTTGGTGAACTAGTATTTCTTCACTCTATTATCAATATTTAAAAAAATTTAGCTTACAACTCCACTGAAAGTATTGCTAGTAATAGTATCTGGCTTAATTCCTGGTTTCTCAGTGGATATGAAGTATATTTTAAAATCACTTATTTACATCATGGTATGAATCTGTCAATATCTTTCCTACGTGTTTAAAAATTGAGTTGGGTTTGCAGACTCCTTATTAGGCCACCAAATCCATTATGATTTTTCACTGATTGTAATTCAATGGTTGTTGTTGAAGGCTTTTCTGATGCTACAGTGGCTTCAAATTCCTGAGAGCAGCTGATTTTTTCGGACACATCAGTGTGACGATGTAAGCTGTTCCCCAGTTTGTTGTTGAGGGTTCAGGCAGCTTATGTCCTCATGGGAGACTGGCACCTGTGTGCTTCCTTTATTATATATACCTTAGTCGCTTTAGCTTTGGGTAACACAATGGCATTTGTGCCTGTAAAAATCCAATTTCCACATTTTGAAACTGTTAAATTTGTCAGGGCATGTATATTCTTTGAACATTTAGATCATTTTCTAGGGCCCCAAACTGCATTAAGAATATTACTAGAATAAGAATTTCTAGAGTGATTAAGATCACTCTAGAATGATCTTGAGTCACTTTTTCTAAGGTACACTCTGGAAAACATCAACTGTCCAAGTGTGACTGCGTTTCAATCACACAAGTGTCCTGGCCCCCAGTGGCTTTTCCATTCGTGCTTTGTTTGGCGGCTGGTTCAACTGCAGATGCAGTTCAGGGTCAGGGTGTCAACCCCAGTCATCCAGAGAAACAGGGGAGGAAAAGCGACTGCTTCAGGGAAACCCAAGCTGCCCACATACCAGCCTCTCTTACTTGCAGACTTTCTGCGAGGCCTGAGGATTGGAATTTCAGGAGAGGAGGAAGCCCACTTCCCAGCGTCAGCCTCTAGGTGTCCAGCCTTGGAAACCAAGACATCTGGTCTAGAACACAAACGCCGCTCTGCCTTGGGAAGTGATACAAATCATTGGCTCTGTACGTCGTGATGCGGTTTTAAACGCTACCCAAGAATCTCACCCAAACATTTAAAACCATTCTGGTCATGTCTCTCTGCCTCATTTCATGGACTCAAATTGATGTTTGAAAACATAAAAGCTTTGGGAGAAGCCTTCTCTAACACACCCTACCACAAACTATTGAACTCATGGCCGGGAAGCCAGAATTTATCCTAGTATTAATACTACATGGGAGTAATGACATCTGTAGAGGCATCTGTTTTCATTGCACACTTGTTCACAAAGAAAAGATCAAAGAAACAACCTGAATGTCCATGACCGCAGGACTGGTTAAATAGGCTACAGCGCACTCATATACTGGATCAGACCTGTAATGTAGCACTAAGAAGTTCTCTGTAGTAAATAAACACACACACACACACACGTGGATAATATGCCCCATTGTATAAAAATGGGAATATAAGGCCATATTTTTTATATTTTTTAAGCAGGGTGTAAATATTGCCCATTCACAATGAAAAAGTAATACTATTTTTAAAGGTTGTTAAAATGAATTCGAGCATTTAAAAATCTTTAAACACTTAGCCGTGGAGAAAACATAGTTAATCCATGTTTCTTCCTTGGGGAACCTAGACAGGAATGTAAACAACATGGATTTTGTTGCATGTGAAAACACAGACTAGACTTACACTTAAGGAGAAAAGAAAACATTGACGTTACTCTTCTCAGAGTACACATCTTCCAACTTTAATAAAAGAGCCAATAAGCTAACAGACTGTGCTCTGCCTAGAGCTGGACAAGCAAGTTGTGACCTCAGGCTTCCACTCCATATACTGTGCTCCCTATGGACAAAACTGTCACGTGGTGGCAGATGACCCAATGTGAGCAGACTTCCCACCCTCCTCCTCCCTGGATCAACTGAGGTCAGGGGTGATGCAAAACTCTCCAGCGACGCGCAAAGCCCCCCGTGCCCAAAGACAGGGTATTCTGCAACACTAAAACACAGCAGTTTCCCTTAAACCCCACGGGACTCGTTATTTATAGGACATGAGCATAACATGAACCAAACTTTGCCCTTACATTCATTAACATAGTACCGCTTGAATAACGCAGCTGTATTTAAAAGCATAAAATGCTGTGTTTATTACACCCCGTAACAGGATATATTCTGATTTCAAAGAATCGATTTAATCAGAAATCTTTAAATTAAATGGTAACTTCTACATAGGTTCAGATGTCACTCAACAAGATAATTACCACCCTCATGTCTAGACTCGACCTCCCCAGGATTCATTCATTCTAAAGGAATTGAAAAATCTGAAAAACAAAAGTGTTAAATCAAAGACATGTGCTTATGTGGAAAACAGTTGGATAACAGTTTTCTCTCTTTGTTCTTTCTACTCAGAAAAGACAATTTTTTGAAATTTATAAGTAACCCGATGAACTTATTTAGCATCTTAACATAGTAGACAATGAAAAATGGACCAATTTTTCAGGCTGAAGCTACTTGGGCAT